CGGTTGCATATTTGATATTAGCTTTAGTATCACGTAGGTCCAGTTATTATTATTAAATATTATTGTTTCCTTTAGTTCCTAGAGGAACATAAGGCTTCAGAAGCACGTCTCCATTGCGTTCGGTTCTCTGCCAACGTTTTCACTGGCTCCACGTCTGCCCACATGCTTTCATCTCCACTTCACATGACCTCCTCCATGTCACCCCACTCTCGAACTCACGACAAACTCGCCACTTCCCATTAGGGTTCCACTTGAGCGATGGCCTGGCGTGTGCTGTCACTCACTTGATGGTTTGTTTTCTCAGAGTATGGCCAATCCAAACCACCTCCATTTCTTCCTGCATATTTGTGGCACAATCAGTTCCTGCTGGGTTGCTTCGCTCCCAGAGATCTTTGTTACTGATTTTTTCTGGCCATCTGATCTTGAGTACTGAACGAATACAGGTGTTGATGAAAGTCTGTAGTTTGTTCGAAGTGGCACTCGTGACGCGGCGCCAAGTCTCTGTTCCGTATAGTAGCACTGGCTTCACATTGGAGTTGAAAATCAGGAGGTCCAATAGGCGATTTAACTTGCATCGGCCTAATTTACATTATTTTGGAATAAGAAAAGATATACTCAACATAATAGGAGAATAAATCATCAGGAGTAATCTAGTACACTGGACTTAAATACTGACGCTTCAACAGGTTGCTTAGATTACCACTAAAATCAATCCCAAATCGTGTCGCCATTAGTTTTCGTTGCTGAACTGTTTCCACAGACTCTGGTAAGTAAAATTACATATATTTATTACTCGATAAAATTTTGCAATCACATTTGTGCTCTAGCTTTTAATCTGTAAATGTGAGATTTACTGTTTAATAATTGTAATCATAGAAAGCTCAAATATAACTTAAGATGCCATGCTTAGCTGTTACAAGTTTCATTCAGTGTTTGTATTATTTGAATAATAACCCTAAGATACCAATAAGTAAACCAAATACCTGTTAGTTCCCCCTACCAGTTTTCTTCAAAAACTATTTTACGAAATTATCACGAAGTGCAGATCACTGGAGAACACCAAGTGACATCACACGCCCAGTTCCTCAGATAAAATTCTAATAAGAGGCAACGAGTTGGCCAGCCGACGATGACATGGAGAAGCTTTTGTGGACAGAAAATGAAGGCTTGCGGCAAGTCCTGGAGTCAGTTGGGATTGATGGTAAAGGATTGATTGCAATAGGGATATGTCACTGAGACCGCATGTTCTTGAAACACAAGAAATGAATAATAGTACAGATTACCGATGTTCTACGCAAAGTATTCGCCTAAAATGCCCCACTGTGGATATAATTTGAATTTGTAATTGCCTAGTGAAATTTAGCCATTAATAATATCTGAATGAGTCCCAAACCACCTATCAGGTGTAGTTTTTTATTTGGTGGATGTGAGGTATATATGCCATGCAGAAGAAGCCGCTTTACTAGATTTCGTTGGAGAGTTTCCGTTTACAGACATGCTCCAAGTGCATTTCAGTCTACTATTCATATCATTAAGACATTCCTACTTCACTAGTATCTTCTAAGTTATAAAAGAACACTTACTAGGTGTAAGGGGATAATTTCGGAAGTGAAAAATATTAATATCAGCATAACTGTAATTAAAAATCATTGTTATACTTAAGTGGGATCCCATAAATAACCTGATACGGCCGGTTTTCCCCTTCAGAAACGGTCACATGTGGCTTTGTCCTATTTAATAACTTCACGCGATTCGGGATGTCGTCACAGATTTGAAAGCCGAGTATTTATCATTTACCATCGACATGACATTCCACTTAAGGAAGCTGTAAAACCGTGATTCCAAACTCATGGTAGAGAATCCGAAAGGAATATGTGGTGCGTTAACCTGTTTTCGTCAGCCCCAAATATCAGAATATATCTCCCAGCTCGAGGAGTGTTCTTTTAAGAAAACCAACTGCTTCTGTTTGTGTGCCCTTACACCCATAGGTAAATATGTAACAGCTTCATCTTATCCTTTCTTTCTGAAAGTAATATGAACTGATTAGCTCTCCTTAAGTGATATCGATAAGCGTGTCGGCCTTTTTTATAATTCTGTTCCTCAGTGAGTAAACTTCTTTCCAATATATTGTTTTGTTGCTTTTGTGTGGCGCATCTTTTTTGGTGCCTGTATTATACTAAGTTGGCATTTAAATAAACCAAAAATAATAAATAATAGGTAGGTAGGTGAACATTTCATTTAAGGTAACAGACAAGTTAATATGCAACTAATGAATATCAAACATTTACGTAATTGGTCTTGAAGTATCAAGAAAATTGATTTACACATAGACATTATCGTTTACATTGAAGTCCTTTCGACTCTCAGTTATGGTAGGGAAAAAAAATCACAAATATAGTAGCCTGGTTTACTTCTTACGTCGTAATCTGACATCTGTTAGTACAGCATTGAAAATCATGGACTGTTGACACACGGGCGTACAATACCAAGGTGTTCTGAATGAATTAGGGTGAAATAACCATCCAGTTGGCCCTGGTTTTCAATTATTCTTGATTTTATATCAACTTAATAATCATAATAACTTTTCAGCATGTCTGCAGTCCATCTCTGTTTACTTCGTCATATTTGTTCGACTATGGGGTTCTTGGTTAGTTCGTCGCCAGCATTGCTTGTTACTTACTTTTTGTGGTCAGCCATCTAATCTTTAGCGTAGCGAGAAGACAGCTGTTGACAAAAGTCTCCAGTGACCTGATGGAAATCCTTTTGGTGACACGCCAAGTTTCTAACCCACATAGAACAACTGACTTGACATTTTGTTTTGAAAATGCGATTCTTCTTCCTTTTGCTGAGTGCGATGTATTCTTAAACTGATTCCTGATATTGGCTGGCTTTGACGCATTCATCCACATTGCGTGTAGTTGAAACGATGTGGCTTGGGTAAAAGAAACAAGTGACTTCCTTTTTTATTATTATTTTGTTGATAGTGATTGGCGCTTGTTGTTGTTGTTGTTGGTTGGTTGGCTGCTTATCTTCATCACCTCCGTGTTCACTATGTTCACTTGAAGTTCTACCTCCTCTGCGTCTTCTGCCAACTTATTGGTGTTCACTTGTTAATCTCCGAGTTTGTGTGATGGTCCATCTAGCGCCTGTCCTCTATTACAGTCACGATTATCATTGGTAACAATGGGCTGCTTGATCCTACCCCTGTCTTCACTTCGAAGGCATCTCAGAGTTTTCCGTTATGAATCACTTTACATCTTGGCTGTTGAATGAGGTTGAGACTGTTTCCAAATTAATTTGCGGTTAACATTGTCGAAGGCTTTTTCATAGTGAATACAGTTGAGGTAGAGATTTGACTGTCATTCCAAGATATGTTCGGTAATAATGGTTTTCCAATGGTCCTCTAGCCTATGTCAATTCGGCATCAAAGCTGTAACCTGCAAACCAACAATTGATGATACTTAATTATTTCATGGATAATCCCCTATCCAGGCATTAATGAAAACAAAACACGTAGTTCAACGAAGAGTCTCTTTTCGGCGGCGAATTCATTTTCATAGCTGTACAATCGCAAATGTATATGGTTGTTTTGTATGTGTGTACATTAAATTTGTCAAACAAAAATGCAATTGGTTATGGTTATTTTAACTAAAAAGGTGAAGATTGGTAATCGGAGTTACGTAATAAAAAATCAGTCAAGAAAATTAGGTGTTAATGAAATTAGGGTAGTAACAAAGGTGATGAGTTGTCACAAACAGTTGTTAAAAAAGAAGTTATTTTATAATATGAATAGTTTGATGAGTGAGTTTTAATCAATATACACATAGGAACAAAGTAAAGAATATGAAATTACGTAAGAGTTCTAAATGAATACAAGAATTATAAGCAATAGAAGAACAGGCAAACAAAAAAACATTAAGCCATCAAAATCAGCAAAGTTGTTACCATGATAGTAGAAGTGGTTGAGTAATTCTCTTTTGTATGCACACCTCCGGTTTTTCTATGTGAATGGTCAGAGCTTCAGCGATACAAAGAAGACGAAACCGTATTGCCTTTGGTAGGTTATTCTTGACTCTGTAGATTACTTTGAAGCAGGAGGCGTTTGTTGAGATGGAATGATCAGTGTTAACCAGGTGTTCAATTATCGCCCTCCTTATTGCACAACTGTTTATGACAAATCATCACCTTTGTTACTACCCTAATTTCATTAACACCTAATTTTCTAGACTGATTTTGTATTACGTAACTCCAACAACCAATCTTCACTTAATTATTTATCATATCCAGTGGTTAGGACTCTCGCCGACCATGCACTTGGTCTGGGGTTCGATCCCCTGCCGGCGCACACCCGATATCTATGGTCCGCCTGCAAAATTTGGGCTACCGATATCCATGCTGAAAATTCCATACTTGTACTGAAAATACGGTGTGGCATCAAGCTGTAAATCAAAATCGAAATAAAAAAAATAAATGTAACTAGATATCGCGAAGTCAGCTGTTCTCTATCCAAATTTATAACATAAATGTTTTTATTGATTTTGGAGTTATTTTACCGAACATAAATTAGACACTGTGAAGTCTATTTTTGATTATTAATAATAAGTCTTTCTATAATGTATAGAATGATTTCGCCACGTGTCTCTTCCTCTCTTTTGCCTACATATTCAAACCTACACTCGGAGAGAGTTCTACCAGTCAGTACTTCCGCAATAGGTATCGAATCTCATCCATCATTTCGTACCCTTTCCATAACAATCTAAGAAATACGCCTTATTTCATTGGTGTACACACATAAATATTGATAAGGTGAAAATGGAAACTTATAAATACAATTAACTGTTAGTTGTGTTCACATAGATTTAAACAAAATTCAAATTGTTAGCTTTTTTTTCAAAATTATATGAAATAATGTTGCCATTTTAATTTCAGATATATATATATTACAGATGATTAACTTAAATAATTTACTGTAGTTAAACAATTTATGTGTATCCTGTTCAATGGATGACCTTGAGGTTTTGTGATTATTACTACTACCATTTTATTGATTATTTTATTTAGATCTACTCCTGCTGTCATCTTTTGGCAATGGTTCAATCAAACATTCAACGCTATTGTAAATTACACAAATCGTAGTGGAGATGCACCGATATCAGTCACGTAAGTATTTTTACGAGGATGTTTTTTGTGTTCTTTTTTAATTTCTGCTTTTTATCTCATTATTGGATTTTATTTTTTTGTTGTTGTTGTAGTTATAAGTAAGTGTTTCGTTGTCTGTCTAGGAATCATAGTCAGTAGGAGAAATGAAAAGGTTAGCTGGTTTCAAACCACACCTCCTTCCTCGATGAGCAGTGTTAGCTGACATAAGATTAGGCTGGAAAGGAGTTCAAGGTAGTCTAACAGAAAATCGATATCAATCCATGAAGACTTTTACTGCTGGTTCGAGCCAGCCACGTAGGTAAATGTAGACTGTCTGTCTGGTTCGGTTCATTGGAATTCTAAAATGTAATTGCTGTAGACCACTGGTGATATGGTTCAAGATCGTTCTCAATAGCACAGATGTACTAATTCTTTGTTTTTTTTAATGGTTAACGGATTTGATCTGGGTCCGATCGCTGAAGTTAATGTTGCGGGTGAGTAGTAATGAACAGTCTTAAATAAGGAGGAAACAGCTCTATTATGAATAAGACTTGTTATTTTGATAAATCACACAGTGTTACACAGTAATATTAACTGATGACGACGTTTCGAGCACAAACTATTGCCACTCATAATCATATCTAGGCACTACTCACACAACTTTTTTCCTTCATTTATATACATGAGTGGAATTGATGAATAGACATTTGAATAAAATCAATATAGGATGATAAAGTACATTCAGAAATAATAATATGAGTGTTATTGATCAAATACAATCAGATGGGAAATAAGACGAGTGTTTTTATAGTCATAATAAGTAACTTGTTAGAATGTTGTGATGCGCTTGAATTGAAATAGAATTTTAAGATTATTTATTATCCTCCTCTGATTCGACTGACTGGTGGTAATAATATCTTCCATATCTCTGGTATTTGCATTGAGTCATTTCTGTTGCATATGTTGGGTGTAGACTCAATGAACCAGGATTCAGTAATCTCTCTCTCCACCTACATAGATTACTTCTTAGAATCTTAACCCTCTCCCACCCTATTGTGTGGTTGTGTGTTAATGCATGCATTGCGGTGTAGTGCTGAGCTTTTTTCTGAATTACTTATCTTTTCGGGGTCAACCATTCTTACCTTAGCCAAATTCTTATGTTCTGACAATCTGACTACCCCCGACATACTAGTTCCACCTATGTAGTTTACTTAACCCACAGTCATTGCAAGGTATTTTGTAAATTATATTATTTTGTCCAGTACTCCAATTCTGGCTTTCAGTGATTCTCTAACCGATGTCTAATCCATGATAAAACATGAAATACTCTATTGTCTAATCGTTTTGAGACAAACTTTTTAATTCTTTTCTACCCTTACAAATATACACATTCTGCTTACACATTCACAGTGATTCCCTGCCTAGATTATATAGACACCTGTGTGGATTTATCCTTGTTATTATTATTCACATTATTAGTGCGTCGGTTGCACAGCGGTTAGGACGCTAGCCGACCATGCACATGGTCCGGGGTTCGATCCCCGGCCACGGACGCACTCCTTTACCTCGCTAAGCCAGTAATAAAAGCTGGTAAGGAGGAAAGGTTGGGAATGAGGTTAGCAACATCATTCTGTAAAAATAGACACTGCTACAGAAACTTCAAGCCTCTAGCTTGAAGCCCTATGTTCCACTGGGAACGTGAAGGGTAAAAAATCGTTAGTAGTACTAGTATTATGAACTCTCTTGGTTCGATTGGTCGAGTCGTGGATAATGCCTCCTTTTTCGAAACGAAAGCCACTAGGTTCGAGTCTCAGTGGGAGGAGGAGCATCATCACTCACTCAATAGGTATTTCAGGTACATCCAGTTGATGAGTCCCAGATAGGACGAAACAAATCCTTGATTCTTTCATATATTTTTTCCTAATATTATTTAAATAAACTATGAAAATTAAAATTATTGCAAAGCGATTACTTCCTACACATCAAGAGAGGAATTTTTTCACGCATTTTCATCTCTGCACATTTAACCAGCACTAGGTGGTAGACAGATATACGACCTGAAAAAGAAATGTCTTGTCTAATTATCTCATAGTCGGAATAAACAATATCATTTAACTATTTGATGAATGCGTGAATGATTGAATATATATATATATATATATATATATATATATATATATATATATATATAAGGTCAAATAGATAAAGGTATCAGTAGCTTTTTCAAATGTGCTTTACCTTAGATTTTCATGAATTGGTTCTCTGTCTAAAATGCTTTTCTTTGTCTTAAATCAAATCATTCTAGATGCTTAGATTAGTGTGAGTTACTTAATAATAATAATAATAACAGCATGTGAATAAATCGTTTCTAACACGTAAGAAGTACACATGACCTAGGGTGGTGGATTTCAGTTCAGTTTTCATTCCTTCGTAAACCTATAAGGTTAAGTATGTAATTCAATTTGAGCCTTCCAGTTGACCAATCAACCTGAAACCAATCTGGAAATCTTCGTCACTCAGCCTGCATCAACAACAAAATTCGGATTTTCAATACAAACGTCAAGTCAGTCAGTTCTTCGATACGGATGGATCAGAAACTTGGCAGGTCACAAAGAATATTTCCAACAGCCTGTTGCAGACCTTTATCAACAACAACTGTCTTCGTTCTATACTCAAGATCAGTTGGCCGGAAAGAATCACCAACAAGAAACTATGGGAACAAACAAAACAAGAACCAATCTCCCAACAAATAATATGCAGGAGAAAGTGGAGATGGATTGGACACTCGCTGAGGAGACCGCTGGGTGACATCGCGCGTCAGGCCAGTGGTTGAGTGGAACCCAAAAGGGAATCGGCGAGTGGGACGTCCAAGGGTGACATGGAGAAGATCGTGTGAAGAGGAGTTGAAACAGTATGGACTAACATGGATGCAGGTGAAAAGTACAGCAGAAGACAGAAGCAAGTGGAGACGTGTAGTTGAAGCCCTATGTTTCACTAGGAACCCAAGGGAACAATAATAATAATATAAATTAGATGTATCACACAGTGAGTGAAACAGTATTATTTACTGGATGACAAGGTTTCGAACAAAGACAACACCAACAATAAGGAATCTAAATCATCAGTAGTAATTCCATATAAGGAAGGAACTTTGGGAACCACCTTACGCAGAGTTCTTAACAAGGCAGGCAGGAATAAAAGTGGCTGGCATTCAAACCACCCACAAACTCAATTAGAAAGAAGCTTTGTCGGTTAAAGCATCAATCCTGAGGAGCCAACTAAACAAAACAATTTAGTTTATCTAATACCCTGCCTGCTGGAATGATTGTCACGTCAAATACGTAGGTCAGAGTGGTAGAACAGGGACAGTCAGGCTAGCCGAACATAAAAACCTAGCAGCGAAATCTAGATTGGTTGACCCGAATAAGATAAGAAATCTAGAGAATAGTTCAGCTATACCACTCACTACATGCAATTACACACAACCATATAATAGGATAAGATGACAGTTTTAAAATCTAATGTAACAGCAGGGTGGAGGGAAAGATTGATAATGGAAGCTTTGTTTATCGAATCAACTACAAACACGTGTAATAGAAATGATTCAACACCTGTTCACCCAGACATCTAGAAAATTCTACTACCCCGCCTACGGCGACAAATAGGAGGGGACAAAGAAAACTATAAAAGTCGAGTTTCGAAGTCGTGTGATTAATATTGATGAGATGATTATAAACTGCAATCAATTGTGTTCGAAACCTTGTCATCCAGTAATCAATAATACTGTTTCACTCATTGCGTGATACATCTAATAAACAAACTAATACGCAATGCTCATTTCGTTCCATTTGGTATACCTGAACGACCTGGATGTACATGAATGATGGTGTTCCCACTTGCCCTCCTGACATCCTTGAATACCCTGCGCATTATGACATAATTCTGTTTGAGTAGCCTCGGAAAGACTTTAGCGGAGCAGTAAAGTAGGATGCAAGAGTTAAGAAATTGTAAAAGGTAGGGGTTGAATATCACCTGATTGTCTTAACTTGTTAATGCAGTAGGTTAGATGGAACATTTTCCTAGTAGTCGAAGAGATATGAAATGATCAAAGAAAGTCAGAGAATAAAAGTATTCCGGGGTTCTATCTTCTGAGCTTGATAAGATTTTGTAAGTCATCTATATTGTGCGTATGCAAGAATATTGAATAGTGGAGAGAGAGAGAGAGATTAGACACCAAAGAGGAGAAATGAAAGATCAGTGTGAAACAATGCAGAAAACAGACAGTTAAAGCCTAACATGAATAATATGTGGTAGTGGAGATTTGAATGCAAGATTTCCACACCTAGCGATAACTGTGTACATCAGTTTGCCATAGAAACAATTCTGCTACCAAGTATTACTGTGTTTTCTACAGTTACACCGGAACCTGTTGACTAAGAAAGAGTTGAGTATTTAAGCAGACAACCATGAATGTCCACTGCTCTCTGTCTAAGCAAATTTAGATATTGAGCAGTGGACAGATGTTTCGTCCCATTCCGAGACTTCATCAGTATGTATCTACCATCGCACCAATCATATAATCTGGGACCTTCATTTTACGCGATCAAGTTGGTTGATCATTTACTCACTTGAGCTGGCCCAGAATTTTATGATTTGTAGATACTTATTAAAGGGAGGCGCTAGTTGAACGTAACGGTGTAAAATACGAATTGACAAAATTAGAATCGTCAAGTATTGGTTTTGTAGGGATTATTGTTTAATTGGTTGGAGGATTTCATCATGAGCTGACATCATTTAGAGATCTGATGCTTACTAGCAGCTGGCCCTTTTCAGGCAGTGACCTGGGGTTCTAGTGGGAAGCCATGACCAGTAGGGTGCACCAGGTTGAAGGTGAGGCAGTAACTCATCGAAGTTAGAAGTTAGAATTCATAGAATGGCCATCGGACCGGATCCTAGTGGCTTAACGGTCTGCGATCTATCTCGCCTTGTAACTAGAAGGTCCTTGGTCCGAACCCTGTCGT